GTTGGACCTGGACATTTAAATTCTTAAAATGTACTGAATATTCTCCCCAACTTTATGGTAAGTAACCATATCCTCATTTACTGCAGAAAGTGAAGTGTCTGAGCAGTGCTGAACGAGTAGGACAGCTGAAATGCTTCAGACACAGGCTGTGTTGCTTCAGCCATTGCCAAGGGATGGCATTTGACTTGTCAGAGTAGTTTGTAAATTGAGTGAAGTTATTTATATTTCTGTGTTACTTAAACGGCCCTTTTAGAAGGAAATTTTAGAAAAATCAACACATGCATTCCACTGTCCTCCCAATGGGGAAGCAATTAGAAAAGCAAGGGGAGCATTCCCAAACAGCATTGCTTAACAGACCGATTTTTGAAGTATTTGCTTTCTTTTTTTTAATCTAATAATAATCATGGAATTGTTTAGGTTGGAAAAGACCTTTAAGATCACCAGCTCCAACTGCTAACCTAGCACTGCCAAGTCTACCACTAAACGATGTCCATAAGCGCCACATCCACATGTCTTTGAAATACCCCCAGGGATGGTGACTCAACCACTTCCCTGGGCAGCCTGTTCCAGTGCTTGACAACTCTTTCAGTGAAGAAATTTTTCCTAATATCCAATATAAGCCTCCCCTGGTGCAACTTGAGGCCGTTTCCTCTCATCACTTGTTACTTGGGAAAAGAAACCGACCCCCACCTTGCTACAGTCTCCTTTCGGGTAGTTGTGCAGAGTGATAAGGTCTCCCCTCAGCCTCCTTTTCTCCAGGCTGTACACCCCCAGTTCCTTCAGATGCTCCTCACAGGATTTGTGCTCCAGGCCCTTCACATCTTCATTGCTCTTCTCTGGACTTGCTCCAGCACCTCAACATCTTTCTTGTAGTGAGGGGCCCAAAACCAAACGCAGTATTTGGAATGCGGCCTCACCAGGACTGAGTACAGGGGGACGATCACTTCCCTAGTCCTGCTAGTCAATCAAAACACTCCCTAACATACAGGGCTACCCTACCACCTCTCTTTCCTTGCCTACCCCTTCTGAGGAGTTTATAGTCATCCATTGCGGCTCTCCAGTTGAGTGTGTCGTCCCAACACGTTTCTGTGATGGCAACTGTGTCACAGTTTCCCTGCTGCACGATGGCAAGGAGTGAACCAAACCTAAAGTTTTCCAGGTCAGGACAGATTTGAAAGCTGCAAATATCCAATATTACCAATAACCTTGCAGAGTAAAACAACAACAACAAAAAACATAATTCTGTCATTGTGCTTGCCTTTTCTTACAGATTTTTTCTTGCTCATTCCTCCTCTCAAGTCAATGACTTTATTCATCATTCCCTCTTGTTTTGTCTTGGGCACACTTCAGAATAATTCAGACAATTAGTTGACTCAGAAAAAAATAATCGTACCAGCTGTTATTTCAGGATTTGGAACTCCTTTGTGTAAGAGGCAAGCACTTCTAGCTGTCAGTGGTTCTGACGAAAGAAATTAAATTTTGCCTGTGATTGATATTCCATTGAAATATCACCTATGAAAAAAAATATCACCTATGAAAAAAAAAGAGAGCTTGCACTAGACACAAAACCAAAGTCTAAAGAAACTTTAAAAAAAATATGTCTGCCTTGTTCTAAGATATGGTCTGAAAAATCACTGTATAAGTCAAATGAGTCACACTTGAAATTTCAGTTGAGATTTTCAGGGGAATTCTTATTTAATATCTTCGTATGCTGTGGAATTGTCATGTGGTGATAAGTGGATTTATCATCAGATAAACTACTGTGTACGTTACACTGCCCATAGTATAATCACTTCATCATCATCCATCCTCTCCAGTTCCCAAAAGAAATGTCACTATCTAATGCCCTCTTTTCTCATCGCTAAATTGGTGAAGTTCAGTGCAGAGTTCTGCAGTATTGACTTTGAAATGCATGTTTTTGACTTTTATATCTTGTTTCTTGAAGAACCACTCAACAGAGTGAATTTCAACAAAGTCTGCCTTGGTAAGTACCTTTGGCTGTCACTGTCACTAAGATATTCTAACTTAGATAATTTCATTTCAGTCCCTTTATGAAAACAGAGATGTTTTTTCAGACCCTTTCTCCCTTGAGACCATGATGATGTAAATGCGAGCAATGTTCTGTGCATTTATGCGTGTGCATGTCTCAGAGCCTAGAGGCCGTATTTCCCATAAACATTTCCGAGTTTCAAACAAAAACAGGTTGTCACATTAAAAGCTCCTTTTTCTGTTCGCAAGAAAGCGCTGAGCTGGATGTGCTCAGGCAAGAGCACTTCATTAGGTAATTCTTCTCTCAACTGTGTGCTCATGAACAATTCCCATTTAACCTCAGAGAAGGATGAATGTATGTGAAGTCAGTGAGCTCTTGCAGTCCTAGGAGTCATCCTCTTGGAAACTGTTAACAACTACAATAAAAATGATAATATTTTTAAAGCTCTTTCCCAAGGCTAACAGCTAAAGGCCATTTGAGATCCATGCTCCATTTTCCATTACATCATATTTAAAGTAGAGTGGTGTGGTATCTAGTCCCCATGGAGAGATGTGTGTTAAGCCATAATAACCCCACAGCTGTTAAGTTTGTCAGGGGACTGAAAGGCACTGTACAGATACCCAGTATAGATAAGTTTGTAGTCATAACAGATCAATGATCAACCAATAAATTAACAGCTGTTCCTCCTTCTCTATTCTACGTCCCCATCCCCCAACCTTTCTTAGGTTTTCTATTTATTTCTATTTTTCAGTGATGGCCAGTGCCACGGCCCCCTTGCTGGGCAGGTTTGACTGGCTCAGTTGCCCTGCTTTAGTTGACTGCTTAAGAGAAGACTACAGCCAGTTTCAACTGCAAAATATAGCTCAAATTCTGTATTCATTTATAGGCCTCACAAATGCCCTGTATTGTCTGCAGGTATGGCTTTATTTGCAGCCTGGCACTTGGAAGTGGTTTTGCAGTTGTTGTTCCCTGGCTTCATGTCATCAGTTTTAAGCTTTCATTCTGCCTGGAACAGGAATGTTATCTTACCTAATGGGAATTGTATTTTAGAAGTAAATAACAGAAACTGAAGAGATCTTGAATGTCACGTTCACTGGCTTTTTCAGACCGTGAAAGTATTACACGATTCAGCACACCAAAGGCAGTGGTACTTCAGTGAGCTTCCCCCCCAACCTTGGTGTTTATGCGAGGTAGGATAGGCTAATGGTTTATAGCAAATTGTAATAAGTTTTTAGACTAAAGGAAGACAGCAAGTAGCACATATATAAAGAATATTGTTTTTTCTAGTGTCATTGGAAATAGTGTAACTGCTGGGTGGTGGCCAGTCATTATCAGCATCGGAGATTTTATCTTTATGTGCTGATGGCATTGTAGAACAATTTACAATGCCAATGATTTGACTTTTGTCTATTTAAAAGACATCTGAAGACTAATGAGCAACCAACTCCAGTGACCTTTTAAAACTGCAGCTATCTTCAGTCCAATGAAAAATAAGTACACACTTTAAGCTATTGTCTTCACACAGAACAAAAAAGCATAAAAGCATAATAAGTCTAACCCCATATTCCTCCTCTTATTCTGTAGGAGTTATTCTTGAACACGCGGGACCCAATACATTATTTCTATGGGTGCTTATATCTGACAACCTCTTTTGTATTGTGTCTGGTGTTACCGTTCTTGGCTTTTTAATAGTGACCTGCTATTATTCAGAAATAGTTGGGCTATAGTGGCCCAGCCTTTTTTAGATCAACAGACTATGCTTTTTAAAAGCCTTTTTCTTCTAGCAAAATCTGATGCGCTTGAAAATTTTACGTTGTACATTTGCTATAACAAGCTATATGCTGCTGATGTGTTGGGATTTTTTATAATAAAATGTTTTCTAAATAAATAGCAGAAATCCCCATAGATCCTAGGATCTCAGAAGCAGTGCTAAACATCTGGCTTGTCTCTGTAGGCTGCACCATGTGGTAGCCAAAATATCTGGTTCAGTACTGTGCCTGTCTCTCAAATATATTCAAAACATCAGCTTTTCTTGGAGAACATTTGGTAAAAGCTTCCTTCATTGCTTTAAGCCAATTTCCATGTGGATATTACTTCTTCAGATCAATGTGAAATTATTCAAAATAGAAAAAAGTGAAGTTGTCAACATTTGGTACAGAACAAAATACTGCATCGCAATTAAAGTGCAGGACAATGAAGATTCCAGTGGCATATACTACAGTTTAATTCTACATTTTTTTTCCCCCCATATTTCTATCTTTAATAGTATATTCTCTGGTCCAGAAGACCCATTTTTCTAAGAAAAAATCTTTATATTGCTGAATTCAAACAGCAGTTCTCTCTCACCAAAGCAGAGAAACAAATGTCATGGAAGTGCAAAACACAGAGAATAAAACAAAGATCTCGATTGTTGTCCCCATTTCAACAGCTTTATGTCAGTGTGATTTGGTAAGGAAAACAACGCTGCACCACATAAAAATTACTGTGCATGTAGTGTAAAGAACAGGATGAACCAAAAAAAAAAACTTTTTGTAGAAGTGTAACTGGGTATTGTATGAAATCCTAATGAGTTGTCAGTTAAACTGTTGTTATAAGGAAATACATTCTGACGTATAAAATGTATATAGTGTGACTAGGTTAAATGTATATACAGCTGTCCAATGGCTACACTTTGCCTAAATTCCTATTTTTTAAATACTTGTATCTCATGAACCTTTAACTTTTGATTGTTGTTTTAGATCTTATTATTTTATTCAGGAAAAAATCACACTTAAAGATAAGCTGAACTTCTTTAAAAACTTTGAGGCTCCATTCCGTCTCATCTAGCCAGTCTGCAACCTATATTGGAGAAGCTCTACATAAATTCCCTTTGAGTTAGACTCATGGATCTGGGGCGACAGACTCATGGGTTGGGGTGACAGTTACAGAAATTCTCATTTTCTCACCATCAAGGCTACAGAGTTTCTAATGATAAGGTTAAAGAGCTATTTAGGGAGAGAAATACTCCAACGACTATCTTTTTTCTTACATTTGCAACTTTTGTTGTTAATGTTGCAAGGTTAAAGCTTTTTCATGGGCACCTTCTTCAGGCAATCATCTTGTGCTGCTCAGTTCAGTCTTTCAGGACATGCTTGCCCTTTTTCAGGGCTATAGACTTTTCCACGTACAGCATTCTGCCGTCTAACGAAAGACATCGGGATGTGCTACTGGGGTTGGGAGGGTTTCTGAGATCAGCTTTTAGATCCTCAACTTCTTCTACGGTGCAAAACTTTTCTGTAACATGGGTTCTTCTGTGCTATGCTGTGTCCTTTGTCATGATTTATATCAGCAGCAGGTGGCTAATGGGTGACCCGTCCAGTATTATCATTAATCTAAGACGTGATGGTTTTTTTGCATAATTTTTTTGCAGATTAGTTGCATGAAAAGGCACATGTACTAAATTGCAGTTGACACTGACCTGGTTAACAGGTGCCAGTGATGCTTTATTTAGTCAGTAGTTAAAGAGAAGCTGACTTGCTATTTTATAGAAAACATGTATCCTGTCATTGTATAGTTTGTTGCTGCTTGGTTTATGATTTATCTGCAGCAATGGGATCTTTCAAAATTTTCTGAAAGAAACTCACTGAATTACAAATTCTCTGCCGTTGCATTCTCTTCTGATTCAAATGCACAGAATGATGTGACCTATCGCTCTTATCTGTGCCGATTTGATTGCATTATATGTATGTCATGAACATGGTTTGTGGTTGAAAAGGGAATTGTACTGCCACAGTATGATAGTGAGAAGCATAATTAAGAGAGGAATCATGGACATCCTTTATTATGGTCTAACAGCCATGCTAATAGTCTTGCTTTACTTTTATGTGTAAAAGGTACTTTATGGGACAATGTCTTGTCAAAATTAAATTTTATTTTGTATCAGGATGCTGTTACAACTTACATAACCTATAGGTGATATAAAATGGTTGTTTACCCTATACCTTGACTTTGCTATACAAATAGCAAGAACCTTGACTGGAGGGAAGCATCAGTAGCCATTGCTTTTAGTGCTGGGGTAGCCATTTGTACTTGGTGAAAAAATACTTTTCTGTTTAGAGCTTTTCACCTCTGTTGCAGTGGGGGTGTTACTGCTCATAAAAACAGCAACAAGAGGTTTTCACCCAGATATACATATGAAAATAAAAGAAAAAGGAAAAAAACCACATTAAGCTAGAATATCTGTCTCCTGGAAATATGGCCTTAGGAGAAGGGAGAGAACTGTTGTAGATATGAAGTCTACACCTGCATTGTAAAAAGGTGCTCTTCTACCTGTCCTTCCACCCATCTGCACATCACTCAGGAAACCCCGAGAGCTTTATTGTTCTGTTTCCAGTGCCTGTGGAAACAGAATAACTAAAGAAAGATAAACGACTTTTGCTTTAAATTTCCTTCCAGGGAACTGCAAATTGCAGTGGTTATTAATACCAGTAATTCAAGTCTAATCAAGGAAAAGTAAGAACAAACATTTACTTTACATAGCAATCTATGTTGGGGCTAGAAAACAAGAACTCTTTCTTTTTTTTTTTAACACTTCTTTTCATTTTCTTGACTTCCTTAATGGAAAGAGGGAAGCCATCTCAGGAAAAACTCTGTTGTCACCTGGGATATGGAGAATGAAGGTGAAGTTCAGGATGAAAAATAGGCAGAGAAAGGGCTCCCCCGTCCAAGGTGGGTGCCTCTACAAGAGGATATGTGTGATATAAGGTGTTACTTCCCCACGCTTTTGGCTAGGAATTCCCCCTTGTATGTATAGATTTATTCCTGACTGCTGGTGATTCTGGATGTTCAGTGTCAAATTGACCAAGTATATTCAATTTCTTGTATTAAGGTGTGTCTTCTCTTTGCTTAAATCGTGCCCTATGCCAGTTGATTATATAAGTGGGAGAAACTGAACACACAGTTTTGAAGTTATCCATTTTTCATATCCAGAATGTTTTTCGCAACTGACTTATGTGCTTTCATTTAAGAAGCAATTATATTTTACAGATGAAAAATAAAATGCTGAAAGCACAGTTTCCAGTAGGTTTCTGCTGAACATCAACCACATATGAAAGGACAAATTATGCTAATTTTATTCATGTTGAATGTTATCTTACTCCACACCATAACATGTTATTTAATGCAAGCAATAGCTTCATATTCTGGTCTAACACTGGTTGACATGTTCCCTTTGAAAGTCATATGGAGAAAAACCTAGCTACTGATCCTACCATTAAATAGGTAACTACCTTGTAATAGGTAATAAATTCACTCTGTTATATTCCTTAGAGTAGATACATATTTAAATAACATTGATCTTTATCTTGTATTTTGATAATTTTGTGTACTTCTATATACAATTCCTATTGTCTGCCCAAGATTATCCGTGTAGATATTTAGCAAGCTTCCCTTCCAACAGTTTTATTTTTATTTAGGAGTTTTTACTTTATAGCCAGTCAGTCTCTAACTCTGATAAGCTGCATCAAGGACTCACCATGCCAGATCCTGTCTTTCTGACATTTTTGGAACTAGTGCACTCCAGAAATAATAGTGAGGAGTTAAAAATGCTATCCAAGAAGACACTGCAACATGCAGCTATCTAAAGAGTCTGGTATCTTCATTAATACAGAAAATAATATCGTTTATTAAATTGGAGGAAAAGTAGGAGCTATCTCTTTGTATTTAATGCTAGTAATTATGTGTATTATTTTGATAGAATAGCTTTGACAATCTCCTCAGATGCTTTAAACAGAATTGTTATACGCCTATCCTGACTCTGTTATTGTTGAGAGGCTCAGTTGATTTATTAGTACAGTATTGCCTTACACTTGGTTTATTCTTTGGACATGTTTCCAGAGGGTTTAGTTTCACAGTCCCTTGGGCATTGCATTTTGTTGACTAGCCATCATCTAAACTTGGCCAGGAGCAATCAGATGAGCTTTCCGCCCAAGCTCTATAAGCTACATCTGTTCTCAGTAATTGACAACAGAGTAATCCTCCCCCAAAACTCCTCCTTGGGGCATGTTATATCCTCATTTGCCCTGCAAATTCATCACTTAGTTGGCTCTTCAGATCAGTCACCTGCCCTGTGCGTTATTTCAGCAAAACTTCCAACACTATGGAAGAGAAGATACGGTTGGAGAGAAAGAGGGGGCATCATGAACAACAGAAAAACAACGCAATGAAAATCAGGGAGCATTTAGCAATACTAAGAAGATGCACCTCAGATGGCCCATAGCAGTTGCCCTGTTTTCCCCATGAAGTCAAGCCATTTGGATTTCAGCTGGTCACATTTTCTGTACAGTGTTTATACCATTGTAGAGTTTGCATCCCTAAAGAGGGCATTAATGAAACTGCAGATTCAGTCACATTTTCCATTTTCTACTACCATGAAACTTAACATCAGGAAAAGAGAAGCATATGGGTCACAGGTAACCACAGTTTTGTTATTGGCATCTTATCTGTACATCAAATTTCAGTAATTAAGAATCTGATGGGGAGGGAGAACGTGAATTCCTAGCAACAGAAAGGGAAATGGTAAGTTGAGTTAATATACTCAGCCTAACAGAAGGTTATTTCATTTTAATGTATGAAATAATAAATACATGTGAGATGATAACAAAAGATTTTGTCTTTCTTCCCATAGACTGAGTGCTCTGAAGATTAGATAACAAAATTATTTTGCAAAGGTAACTTCACCATTTTCTCATCATTTTCTGTAAGTTTGTCTTTTATCTAAGTTGTTTGCACTGTCGTTCTACCTTTGTTAATGGATTTCTCTGTAGTGCGTGATGGCTGAAAAGCAACCTGATGCAGTGGCTACATAAATTTGGAAATCTCTTCTTGAAATCTGTGGTACAACCCGTGTACTATTGTGTGTCCAAATGGATTTAGTGTATCATAACGCTCCTAGAAAAACAATAGGACAAAGAAGATGGGATTGCTAAGGGAGGCATTAGATTTCATTTCACACTGGTAATAGTTTAGAGATGTGCGCTGAGCAAAATGGGATTCAATTCTGCAGCACTCCTCTTTTTTATTGCTGCTAAGTGATTTCAATATCCAGTCTAAAGTGATATTGAGAGTGTTCGATAGAATGGGGATGAAATCAGGGAACGCTGGAGGCTCAGAGGAGGCCACAAATCTCAGGTTGACTTGACGTAGCCTTTCGGAGCCATCCCACCTGACCTTAACCCATCTTATTTAACCCGGAGGCTGCTGGTAAGTACCTTGCAATGTAAGATATCATTCCGTGTTAAAGGGAACTATGCAGCTAGATTGCATTTTGGACATCAATTGATGTTACCATAGTTATGGCTTTGGCCATGAACTTACCGCTTTCAGAAACATTTATGGCTAAAAGTTTATTGCCCAGCTGTTGCTGCCTGGTAGACATAGCATAACTGGGAAATAGTTTAAACCCTCTAACCTTTCAATTTATGACTGTTGAAAGCAGATGAAGTTTGCTATACAAACAAGGAGGCTTACCACAAGCTTACCAGGCTGTGCACAAGACAGTGGTCACAAGGGTGCTGCTTCTCAAAACAAGTTCCTTTCTGCCAGGATGTATATTCTGCTTCTGATAAACACACAGTTAGAAAAGGTGGATGGTGTTATTTGTTCTACATACCTAACAGTGTCAATTATTGGAATAACTTCTCAGTTTCTTGAGTGTTAACTGTTAATAATTTTCATTGTTTAATATTGTACAGTGTAGGATCCTAAATCCAATTACAATGTTAGGAGCGCAAAGGGCACCAGTGGTACTATTGGGAATCTTTTGGCTTCTGCAGGTTTCATACAAGAACTGAGGAACAGTGAAGTGAGGGCAAAGCAGAAAAAATGCATCAGACAAAGGCAGTTGCTCTGTAGGCACATATATTAATGAGAGTTTCACAATTCTGTTTTTCTCTTCAATGTAACAGGGTTATACAGAAAAACAGGAATTTTTTCTGCAAGAAAGACTCGGGAGCTACACTGTACTGTCCTCACAATATTTTTGGAATCATTTAGATTTCTAGACAACACCTCATTTTCTCTAAGAAAATACTGATTTGTTGATAAAGTTCCATGAAATTTTTTAAAAAAACAAAAGCAACCAACACTTAAGAGGATTTAAAGTTTGTGTCTCAGTTAAAAAACCTTGGATTTTTTTTTTTTTTCTGGAACCAAACAGCTACTAACTTCTGTTAGCATAAAATATTTTGTACTGTTTCTATGAAATTCTCTGAGAGCAAACTTCTGCTTTTGGTCTTCTCCTGTATCTAGCTGCATAATTTTTTGGCTAAAAACTGGTTAGAGTAAATAATAAAACCAGTTGTGTTTTGGTAAAACCTTAATACGGCTTTGTTTAGTACATGTTCTGTATTTCCATTTGAATGTGTATACTCTGTTGTCACTTGACTCAATATGCAAGGGCGTGTAAAAAAGAGCTCTCAGCACTTCCTCTATTTAAAATGCCTTCAGCAGCACAGTGTAATTTTGGCTAGACAGCCATTTAGCCTTCATTTGCTGGTCAACAAGTTTGCTTTCAAAAGCCTTGACAGAAGAGGCAGGACACGCTCTCCTCTGGAAGCCGTGCCACAGGCTGGCAGGGGAGCAGGGCACAGCCTGGCGTTCCGTGCATCCCGTCTTCGCAACCAAACGTAGCTCCAGGGTACACAGGAGCTTAAGTCATTAATATTGTTTTGCCTACTAGGCGTTTATATAAACTGACAGCTCTGGCAGCAGACACGACTTCTGCATAGTCATCAGTGACTGCTCCCAAAATTTCATTAGAAGCGCAGAACACACCGACAGGGTTGTGCTCAGATTTGAAGTAGCACGGTTTCATTTTTTTTACATGTGAGAAGGTAATCTACTTTGTGCTGAGATACTCTGCATAGAGCATGTGCAGTAATGTATTGGCTTCTACAGCATCCAGGGACCTTATTTTTTAAGAAGCAGAATGCATCTGTAAATACGTGTTGCTAGTATTATTACTTTTAATTTGCTTTTGGCAACTTGAATTTTCTTCTCTGCTGCAGAGAATAATGAAACGAGATGAATTCGCTGAATTCTGGTTTACTTTAAAAAAATCACAATGGCAATTTACATATGTTTCATCCTTACATCAAGATTTTGAATATTTACTATAACTGAATTAGATTCTAGTTATGTGCAGAACTGACTGGAAAACAAACTGGCATCCTGATTTGCATTCATTCTGCACCAGTGCTTCCCCTGTCAAATTTGTTCAGTGTGGTAGATTTAGCCAAGAGCTGGGTTTGTGTATTACCTGTTACTGCAGGAAAAATCTGAAGTATGTCATTGGCCCAAATCTCTGATGTATATGAGGAATGACATATTGCTATACAGAGAATAGGAATATTGGAATTAAAATATACTTAGTGTTCAGTCAGGAAGAGGGTTGGGGTTCTTGGAGGGGGGGAGGGTTTGCACCTAGATAGCCAGATCACCTCATTTATAAAGTGTGAGAATAACTGCTGAATGGAAGATGGCCTCAGTGTGTGATTTTCAGGTAGCTTCCTTATATTACTGCTGCCTTATGAGGCAGAGATGTCTGGTTTGGGGGGATGTGAACTGCTTGGGCTTTGTGACTGTGCTGTCACTCGACCAGACAGCAAAAGAGCTTGCTATTAGCAGTGTTGCAGGTATGCTAAAATCTTCCCTTCCAATTGTGTGATTTGGGGGGGGGGGGACAAAAAATGGAATTTATCTTTATTTCCCTTTAAACTTTTTCCTCCTCGTGGTTTTTGTTTAGAGCTGTAGCTAACTACGGGCAGCAGTGAAAGTTAAGAAACAAATGATGGTGTGTGCTTGTAAAATGTGCATTATTACTCAGTGCTCTATGCTAAGAAAAGGTTGTCTTCCTGTACTTATTTTCCATTTTTATTTTCCCAGTTTCATGCAAAACCTCCTTTTTTCATGTCTAATGTCAGACTGCTAGTCTGGGGTGCCTTTTATTCTTTGTTGGCTCAGATGCATGTGACTCTAAGCAGAACCCAGTCCTGTTCAATATGGGACATGAGTTTTCCTCACATGCTGCAGAACGTCCTGTTCTGAGAACGTCTGTTCAGGAGTTCAGTATTTGTTTCACCAGGCCTTTTTCACCCTGGCATCAGGCAAATTTTTCGTAGAGAAGTTTTAAATCACCCTTTACTCTGCTGTTCACTGTTGCCCTCCCTGAGCTGTCACATACAAAACCCATGTCCTTATGTATAGGCTAACATTATAATCTTACCAACAGATTTGTGTTTATATTATTAAAGATTTATAGTTATAATTTGTAATTCTTCCTCTCTGCATCCAATAGAGAAAGGAAGAATTACAAATTATAACTATAAATCTGCAATAATATCAACACAAATCTGTGTTGATAGAGAGAGGAAGGGCCTTAGAGCAAGATTTAGTGCAAACGTTTCAGCCAGAGCTAGGTAGATTTGTTAAAAGGCAGAACTAATTAAATTGGATATAAAGCTGTGCTGACACACAGTTTCTGAGACCTCCACTAGAGCAGCCACCTCACTTTGCAGCATTGAGCTTCATGGATGCACATTAGCACTCCTAAAGTTTGGCCTCTCTGGATTGAAACAGCAATTTGGGAAGGCTGTCACTGACATCAGCTGATGTCCCAAATCCTGATTATCTCCTGGTGCTGTCAACTCACTGGTAGTGAGTTTTGTCACCTCTGAAATTGTGCGTTCATGAGACTTCTCAGTAAAATCTATGAGATGTTCAGCAGTGCAAGATGGACTGTGTCCTCCTCTGTAGGGAAGGGGAGCCCCAAACTGTCTCTGGCCACCTGCATGTGCAGTTCAACAGTAAACAGACACATCTACTGTCCTCATTCTTTAGATTTCCTTTACACAAATGTGAGAGTATGGTAAATATAAAAGTGACTTAATGTGAGCTGTGCTGAAGTAGCAGATATGGGAGGGTTTGCTTCCATGCAGATTTATGCAAAAGCTAGCACAGCCCTCAAAATAGTGGCAGCAGAGAAAAGAGTGAGACGTTTAGGCAGGATTTGTGTGTCCCTGGTGGCTTCATAGGAAAGTGAAGCACTTCACATGTATTTCAAACTATAAATAAACTTGCCGACAGAATGGCTTCCTCCAGCTTGCTGTGAAGGCTGCAGCAGGCACCCTTGCCAGCCCACAGGTGCTCTGCATCACCACATCTGTGTTTTGGAGGGCCTGGATCCCCTGCAGATTTGTAAGTGACCAGAGGGTAATAGTGTAACTAGCATGGTGAGGTGTGCGGAGCTCTGTGCTGTTATTCCCAGGGAAGTGTTCAACTGACTTATTAAAAATTACCTTTACTTTTGCACTGTTTTCTTGTTAGAGTTGGTTTGCAAGTGACATTGGAGATCAAGGTAAGAAAAAAATGCCTGAGAAGTTCACAGAATTTAGTTCACAGAGTTTGTGATGGAAATGTATGATAGCATTGAGCTATCATTCTTTAAGGAAAAGGGTTAAAAGCGGAAAAGGTCAGAAATAGTGGCGAGGAAGTAAACAAGAAAGCATAAAGGCTTTAGAAAAAGAAGGCAGGTGTGGAAAGAGGCAGTTTGGGATGACAGGATGCTGGTCCATGAATTAATAGTCAAATCTTTCTGTCTGCCTCTCATTGGAAGTCCAGCACCCTTACTCCTTTCCACCAGTGAAAAGTTTCCAAGACCTCACACCAGGGTAATAGCTCTGACGTGCATCTGTGTGTGGTACCATGGCCAGGCTTATTTGCATCAGCAGATTGGTTTGTGCTCCTGTCACATTCCTCAAGGAAAATTATAACTTTGGTATACTCATTTATAGATCTTGTATAAACTTACATGTATTATCCACTCTGTTGAACTTGTTTCATCAGAATAAAGATTAAGAAATGGGAGAATGAAATTGCTTAATTCTAGTATATTTGACCAGATTATCTGTGGTTAACATGGCAGTGACCATTCTGTTTTAAATATGCTTACATTCGACAACTTGGAATAATTTATCCATAAGGAAAGCTGATTACTCACCACAGGGTGTTGACAGCTGACTTTTGAGCTGATGAAAAAAATTAGCTAGCTAGAGAACGCAGGGAATCTCAGTAATGGCAATGGGCAAGGTGCACTGGCCTCCATCATGTTACTGCTAAGAAACAAACGATGCTTTAAATGTCTGCTGGACGGTAACCAGAGATGTCACTGGGTATGAGTCTGCAGATGCTGAGCTGCTACTACTTGTGCAATGTCCATTTCTGAATTCAGTGTGGAAAGGAACAGAGGTAAAGGAGAAACTGAGAAGACAAGCAGGAAAAAGGATATTAAAATAAAGGAGTTGGCTTACAGGATGGAAGGTACCAAGTGAGAAAGAGGAAGAATTGAAGTAATAAATTATTTTGTGAATATAGGGGAAACAGAAAGAAAACAAACCAAAAAGGGACAATCAGTGTACACCCTCCATGTAACCAACTTGTATTTTAATATGTACTTTGAATTCCCCCACCACATTCAGGTCTCCTGTGAAACCTTCCTCCTTAAAAAAAAAAAAAAAAAAACCCACAACATTTTTCTTCAAGTCTGCCTCCTTTAGTTACCACATGAAAACTGGTAGGGAAGCCTCAGCAGATAGATGAGGGGTACAATGACCAGCTGAGAGCTTTTCTTCCTTGTAAGGTGTTAATTTGTTTGTTTTTTTTTTTTTTTTTTAGTTTGGTTGGATTCAGGGGTGTGGTGGTGGTGTTTCTCCAATGACCTGTTTCAAAAGTGTACATTATTAGTTACTGCTCCCAGAGTAGATGGATCAAAAGTAATGCATAAGTTCCTTTCACAACAGTCCCCTTGTTTTTGGGTAATCCTTCCAGAGCACAGGTTTGTTCCTCAGAAATAATGAAGGAGTTATATAAAGAGGGAGTGATTTATTGCTAAGAAAATTGCCATTTTAGAAAGTGACTGTAGTCATGGGAGCTTTGTAGAGGCAGCTCTCCCTGCTGTTGGCAGAGAAAAATGACAGCAGCACTGCTGGGATGAAGAAGGAAACTTCTTCACTGAGGCCTATTCCTTCATCCTTTTAAGCACACATCACAGGGTGCTCCGAGAGACAGGGCACAGCAGTAGTGGGAACTCGGGGCTGAATCCAAAAATAATTTATCTCCATCCCTAACAGAGCTTTCACAGCCATTAGGGACAGAGAGGCACTCATTAAACTCTAGATGACGCCCAGGTATGATGCTGTTCAGATACATCTGTCTTGTGTTAGGTAGAATGGGCTGAAAAAAATTTAAATTAGTAATTCGGAAACATCTTTTATCAAGAGGCAAAACAGATCTGAGCTTTAATTTAAAAGTCAGTTTGTTATGTTACAATTACTAAGAAGCTGCAAATTTGTTTGAATACAGGCAGTAAGCAGTTGCACATCTTTAAATAAATTGTTTAATAATCACTTACATAGGAGCTCTTGGTCAGCTCCATGCAGATAGCAAAAATGGTATCGACATGGGGTCTTATCATTAATTGTGTAGGTGTTACATAGGAGATGTACGGTATCGTGAGCAATATAATGAACATTTTGTATTCATAGATGTCTAGAAGACTCAGGAGCTGAACAAATTAATAAAAGCTAAAAAAAAAAATCTTATAAATGCTACAATAATGACGTTTTGATATTATCTGATAGTCAAGTGACCACTGTAAGAGAACCTGAAGAATTCCTGAGCTTCTAATTGACAATGACAGATTGGTATTAATAAGATAAGTGATACCAATGGGAAATGAAATTATGGGGACACACCATATCTGTGACATGCAGAAGGGCAACGAGAAGGGCTACCTTAAGTAGTAGGACACTTCAGTCTGTAGACAAAAATACCTCCTCATTGTTCTCATTTCTGTTCTTTGGGGTTTTTTGTGTTCTTTTTTTAAAATATATGGTAATTATTTTATCCTTTCTGTTACATTTAACCTCGCAGTATCAATGTTCCAGCTGGTTTAAACAGGAAACATTCCTGTAACCACAGAGAGAAAATGTTACAAATTTTCTAAGCCTTTCTATTACAAAATTTACCATTAAATACCTGACATATGCAGATAGCCTGTGCACAGATAAGTCTATTATCAGGGTTTTTTTTTGCTACTGCTTTTATGCAATAACCTGTGCATAAGCAAGATTTTACTTATGCTGATTTTCTTAATGTTCCCAGTACATCAGAATATTGCAAAGAAAAAAAACCCTAAAAAATCCTAATTTCACTAGATTTTCCCTTTACATGAGGCAAAGTACTAGAATATAATCTTCTTAAACCTGTGTCACTACCGAGAGGTAACTGGTGTATGAATGTACCAAAGAAAAGGGGTTGCAAAGGTGTGTTCTATTGGTCTAGAAGTATGTTCAAATTTTCTTTAAATGCAGCACAATTGCATATGGTTTTAATTATGTTTCAGTTGTGTAAAATCAATCCTTCAAATTTGAAATGGCTGTTACTTTTGATTCATCATGTTTTCATTGAGCACATTTTAATTCTCCAGGAAGGTTAATAACTTCACGCATTCATCGTTTAAGTAATTCCTTAATTCATGGATGCTTACATGAGCAACTTTACTGGCTTATATTTTCATTTATTGAAATTTGTTACAGGAAATACCTTAGAGTGTACTTCATTAAGTTTCATTTTAAAAATCTGTATGCCTCAAAAAGAAAGAATACTAATCTATAATAGTTTTTTAGAGGGAGACATCAATTCTTTACTTGAAAAATCATTGTCTCTCTCACCTTCATTAAAAACACCAATAGGTACTCCCATTCTGTTGCTGCTGTTGCTGAAGTCAGTGAAAAAAAGATTTCCCTTCCTCAAGGATCAGTGTGATACCAGGATTAAAATAAAATTAATTAAGAAAATGTTGATTCATCGGTATTTCCACCTCAAGATTATGTGAGAGGTTGGATGTTTGCTATGAAATTACAGGCACATTTTCCAAACACAGTGTCGTGGTTTGAGCCTGGTCGGCAGCCAACCACCATGCAGCCACTCTCTCCCCCTTCTCTTCCGGCAATGAGAAGGGACAGAGAGCCAGGCTTGGGGTTCGAGATAGGACTGGGATGGGGAAAAAATCCCCCTTTATGGGCATGAGCAGGAGGCAGACTCGTTAGGGGAAGAAAAAAGAGCATACATTTATTACAGACACTAACGACACATAACAGAGTAGGACAGTGAGAAGCATTGCCACATCTTGAGAACACCTTCCCCCCACCCCTCCCTTCTTCCTGGGCTCAGCTCTGCTCCCGATATCTCTACCTCCTCCCCCAGTGGCGCAGGGGCAGGGAATGGGGGGTGCAGTCAGTGCTGCTGCTGCTTCCATCTGCTGTGGGGGGAGCTTCTGGAACTGTGGTCCCCCTCTCACAGGAGACAGTCCTCCACAAACTTTCTCCAACATGAGTTCCTCCCACAGGCCGCAGCGTTCCCCACACTGCTCCGGCGTGGGACACCAACTCGCTCCAACTGGAGTCCCTCCCATGGCTGCAGCCCTTCCTGAGCTGCTCCGGCGTGGGACACCCCCGCATGCTGCAATCCTCCCAGCACTGAACCACAACAGCGGGGGCTACCTTTTCCCACAAGGCTCCAGCCTCCTTAGGGCAAAGTCACCTTGATCAACAATGCAAAGCCCCTCCCCGGCCATAAATCAGTGTCTGCTCCACCGTAGATCTCCATGGGTGGCAGGGGGGGCCGCCCTGCCGTCTCCCCACAGGATACAGGGGGGTCTCTGCTCTGGCACACCTCCCCCCTCCTTTCTTCCTCCGTTCCTCCACTGACCTTGGTGTTCACGCAGCTGCAGCAACTCCTCCTCACCAGTCCCACTGCTCCTCATCACGTCCCTTCTTAAATACGTTATCGCAGAGGCGCAGCTGATTGGCTCAGTTTCCAAACAGAAGTGGAGCTGACTTGGACCTGGGGGAGCTTCGAGAAGCTTCTCACAAGGGGCCGCCCCTATAGCCCCCTGCCCTGCTACCAAAAAACCCCACCACTCGCTCAAACCCAGGACACACAGTGTCCTCCATATCTAGTTGTGAGAACCTGCAGCATCTCCCAGTGGTTACGCAACTTTGAGGATGTTTTTAGGATAAATACCCATAATGCCACTCATAGTCTGGGTAAAACAAGAATTTCTCTGAATTTCCAAGAATTAGATTTTTTTTTTTTTTGAGTGTACAAAGATGGAGCTGCATAAAGGTAGAGCTGATATCCAAATCAGACTCCATGGAATTTCATATGTGTCCATGAAATTCTGTGTCAGTTTTTAGAGGTCCTACAGGTTTGTAATTGATATAATTGCTTTCAGTGTTGGTGGATATTTTGATTCTTTTGCTATAGTTGGTTTAGTAAAATTCTTTCACTGATGATGCTGTGTGATCTACCTCAGCAAAAACATACTGGTTTTCTGTAAAGTCCGTTTTAGGAAATGTTCTTACACTGTATTTCTACATATATTTGCTTATAATTTCATTGCTATACCTATTAGGTGCTGCTCATCTAGCTGATACAGTTTAAAGAGCCATATAAAGCTGTGAAAAGGTTCAAGAGAGATCTTTCAGAGAGCCCTGGAAGAAAATTGAAGAAGGAATTAAGGTATTATTAAAAGCTAAATTATTTAGGATTTACATCAACTTGTTGCTTACACACCATTGACACTTCACCTAAACTGTCTGTAGACTTCATATTTGAGGGCTCATGCCATTAAATTATTGACCTCAGTAGGTCAAATGGTGCATATTCAGAATATTTAAAGACGTTTTCAAAGATGGGGAAAAAAAAAAAAAAGAAAAAAATTAAACAACTGTTTTAAAATTGCTAAACCTGTAGAAATCCCTAAAGTATACAGTGAAAAACATTGCTGCTTCCTGTGCTTGGTCTGCATCTAAGAGAAACTTTGTGATAGATATAAAGTTAGATTTTAACAGGGATCCTCCTAAAACACTGTAATTCAAAAAGGGTAGAGCACTGTGCGACGAATGCTACTTGCACAGGAGTTAATGTGCTCCCCAAGAAGCTCTTGCAATCCTGCAGAAGAAAATAAACATGGGAATTTCTAAAATGCAGATTGCCTTGCAAAGGCGTAACCTATGCTGCTCTTCTTTTCCAATGAGGGAAGGAAGGAGGAGAGAATTTTGAAGGGTCCCCCTTCCACCTCTTCTGTGTGTGATGTTTTCAATTAAAATGGGCAGTAAAAGTGGATTTTTCTGCCTCCAGGTGAATTGGGGTGAGAGCGGTCAGGAAACAGCTAGAAATTATAAAAGGTATAATAAGATTTGGGGGTTTCTATCCACAAAGTTGCATGACCAGCTACACTTTTATTCCTAATCACTGCTGAAACATTGACTTTTTTATTTGTCCGCCACAGAAAGTCAGAAACCTCTCTCTTTGAACAGGGAATAGAGGCATGAGCAGAAGCCCCGGGTATCATGTGAGGGCACCCTGCAGAGGAGAAAACGGGGGGAGACCTCAAAAGCAATAGCAGGAAAAGCAAAAGGGCTTTGTCTGAGTGCGGGAGCACAAGCAGCAGCACAGGTAACTGTCTTGGAGAATTTCAGCCTCAGTATCTTGATAGATCCAGATTTATGCTGAGCCTGAAGGCTTTTGGCTTTAGAGAGGAAGTCTGACAACTAGCAAGCATACGGCGTACTGTGTGCTTTCACATGGGGGAGGGAAAGAGCAAGTTGAGAGAGAAATTAAAATAGATTTTTGATTGCTGTTTTATTGACCCAGAGAATATTGAAAGGGACAAGTTTAGTGTTTTGAGGAAAAGGAAGCATAGCAGGATTTTCTATTACTACGTTTCTCTGCTTTCTGGAAATTCCAGTATGGATTGAGAAAATAACCACAGAGATAAAATACTTGTCAAGTTTAGAGAGACAGCTCTAGTTAGACAGACATCTCACACAAACTGAATTATGGCGAGACAGCTTCATTAGAAGAAAACAAAGGTTCAGCAATGTAGTTACGTATGTGAGTAAGAAAGCTGTACTGTAAAACACTGGCGAAGACAGCACATGAGGGAGGAAAAATAATATCATACCATAAAAGTGTATATTACAAAAACAGTAGCCAAGTCAGTCCGAGGATGAGAAGGGAAAGGATGAAGAGAAGAGCTGTGGAAGACATGTCAAACAGCGAGGCTGGAGCTGTTGGCGCTGTAGACGGAGGGCTCTATCTCCATGTTATCCCTACGAAGAAGACATTTCAGCAGGATCAGGATTTTGCTCTTTCTGGAGGATGCGGGAAATGGGATCTTCGGGCTGGTGCAGTGCTGTACCATCACGGGCATGTCCACGAGGTGGGATGTGATGGTATCGGCTGGTGGTCTGCATGGGGGGACTCATGGTCCCCTGAAAACTTGCTCTCTTATTTTAATTATTTTTCAGTGGTCTTGAAGTATGTCTTCACAATCCAGGTACCGAGAGTTCTGCGGTATTTTTCCTGTCATTCTAGGAATGATGCTGAAAATATTCTGGTATTTGGGTAGTTAGGTCTGAATGAAAGGTTGTGGGTACGACCTCTACAGTTAAATCTACAGCAGTGATATAACACTTCCTAGGCTTTTATTTCTATTAGAGTTGATCATTCATTTTCTATCAATAGGCTTTCAGTTTGCTTTACTTTTTTTTTTCTTTTTCAGAGGAGAATGTGTTTCCTCTCAACTTCAAACCTTCAGAGAGGATAATATAATTTTTCAAGTGTTATTTCTTTCTGTTAAAACTTCTTTGTGAAAACTTTTTCCTTAAATTCTGCCTTTTACCAGCCTTTTTAGAGAAACCACATTCTGCAGCTGCACTGGAAAGATTTTTGAAGAAATGTGCTAATAATCTGCTGGCAGTTTTCCATTGCCAAAATGTATGTTTAAGTTCATGCACATGTAGTTTGTTTCGCTGTAGCACTTTTTGTTTATATTAACCTTTTCTTCAAGAAGTATGACCAAAAGAAGAAAGGAGCCAGGAAAGGGAAGGGACAGTATACGCTTATTTCCGATTCCTTAATTTTTTGTTGCTTGGGTAGCTTAGCTGCATGTGGTGCATAATTTTTTTTTTTTTTTTTTTTTTTTTTTTGCAGAAAACATCTTCTAGTGAACATCTAGCATCCGGAATGTGCCATGACAGTCAAAAACTGGTTTGCACACAGGACAGTGAGGTGAGGCAGACATCCAGCACTGCAGTTCTCGTCAGACTTCCTAGCTCCATAGTCATGGCTGTTTTCTTTCAGGGCATGGACGCAGCTCACACAGCTTTACTCCCTATTTCAGATGAAAGTAAATGAGGAAGTGCCAAATTTTCTGTGTTACAATAGTCCTTTATTTACAATCACCTCTGATACTGAATTTGCATGACTTGATAAAACTGCCTGTGCAATCAGAGTAATTTTTGTGAGGCATACTTAGTTTTTGGGGTGGGTTACTGTTAACTGGCATAAAGGAGTCACTTTGGACAACCACATATATGAGCCATGTTCTTGCATATGATCTTCAGTTCCTCCTGTAGAAAATACTGAATTTAGTCAAAGGTAAAATAATTTTTTTCCTATTTATGTTTACTTGCCAGTTTCAGTAGTTTTGGCACAGAATATGCTTAAAACCTTCAGAGACCTCTCCAAATTTCTTTTGAAAGAGCTTATTTTAAGAACTATTTGGTTCAACAATGTTGGCACTTCAGTTTTTTTTGTAGCAAAATTTCAAGCATAGAGGCTTCAGGATACACTAACATTTATGGTGGGTTCTTCCCTGTGCAGGCAGTAAGAAATATGCATTAATCCCTATTTGTTTAACATTTATGAATATTTTAATTTAAATGTTTTTTTCCTTCTGAACTAGGGAGTTGAAAGAGTCATGTCTGACAGGGAGGAACATCGCTCACAACACATCAGCTTTCCGGAAGTTAAAAACTCAGTTTATGCTTGATTTCAGGTACTGGTCTAGCTTCTTGAGTTTCTATATGATTCACTGGCTGCCTACCTTAAAACACATCAGTCACTTTTCTGTGTTTTATCTATATGGTATAATGCAGCATAGAGGTAATACATCTCTCTGAAGAGCGGGGGAAAACTCTGGAAACGGGAGAAATAATAGAGGGCTGTTAGAATATGCAATTTACCAGTCCTGTATTGTTAGTCTAGATTAGATTATTTTGTGACCACTTCTGAAGAAAATACATCAGAATGTTACCAATTATATGTGAACAGAAAATAAAATATATTCTCAACAAACAGTTTTCTTAAAAGAAATCCTCTAATAAGCCTCTGCTCCTGGATGGTTGTTTTTTTATGATTTTAATTCTTACGCTATAAAGACTCAAGGTTCATTGCTGTTTTAAATGGAAAGGCTGATTATTACAATTCATTAATTGCAATAATCTACTGTGTCTGGAACAGCAGAATAAAAATTTTGTGGTTTATTGCCTTCTATTTATTAATAAAATGCATTCAAACTATTTGAATTTCAACACAACAGAATATTGCATTTATTTGAAGTACCATATGTCAGAAAAAATATCTATGTACAATGACATGCTGCCATTTAAAGCAGCACATCAGGAAGGAGTCTTACAGCACCTGAAGGTAATGTTTACCGATGTAACATCTTCAGGTAAGAAATAGTTTTTGGATGGTGGTATGAAAGGGCATGTATGTCTTTTTCCTGTTGAAATCCAGCAGAGAAGAAACACTCCAGCACCTATTTTGGGATGGCCCTGCACGTCAGGGTTTGCCAGACAGCACCTTTTCAAAGGACAGCAGTTTTTCCTTCTACCCCTATCTTAGATCCAGTTTTGCTTCTAGTATATCACTAGTACGTTGAGTTTGTTCCATCAGAGAAGAACAAGATACAGGATTTTCCCCATTAATTTCAGGCAGTGTATTTTGCTAGTTACCAGTTAGAGTGATGTAAAGATAAGTAATAGCTTAGGAATGCTGAAGAGTAGTTAGTTCAAGAACTGTATTCATGTCAGAGGCCTGACATAAATAGCCTGAATTTACCAAATCATTCCTCTTCACTCTGGTTAATTTATAAAACATTTTAGATGTAAATAAATATACTTGAATTCATGTACCTGGTGTGCTTTTAACAACTATGTTTTATTTAAAATGAAAAAATAAGCTTTCCCCTTTCTTCAATCTAGTCACATCAAACAGTATTGTTAATGGATACAGACTTATTTCTGAAATTATTTAACCTCAGGGTTTGTAGGGAATTTAGGATTTTTTATATTGCTATTGTGATAACAAAAAAAAAAAAAAGAGTTTTTCTTTCAAAAAAGGGGAAAAAAGCATATTTTTTTCTGATCTGCATATAGAGAGGTTTCTGTTTTAGCAGCTGTAGATGCTCTCTATGCTCCACAAAACATGTCAGAAGCTGGATGCATTTTATTCAATGAAAAGGTTGCAGAGAACTGTCTGTCTTTAACATGGTCATAGATATATATGTACATGACTGTGAAATTATTCTTACTCTTTGGAAAGGATGGGTGTAGAATGCTGGGTTGATATTTGCTCACAGTATTACCGTAAACAGATTTTCACTAAGTTGGCAAACATTACTATTGTTATTGTGGAAATTACTGCAGTTATTTGTTTGGTAAATATTTTGCTGGATGGGAGTGCTTGCTTGTACTTTAAAGAAGCCCCAGTGGTTTTGCTTTGCATTTGTACATAGTTCTATGAATAAGTCCTACACTCAAGCTTTTGAAAATGTAAGCTCCTGAACTTCCACATTGGTAAATCCTGATTTATGATGACACAAGGACAGGACTTTGATTCTCTCCCTGCTATTGATAACATTACAAGATTATTGTAAGGGAGGATTCAGGCACAGGAGCTCATCAGCCTGGCAGGGAACAGAACAGCCCAGCATACAAGGAACAACCAGCAAGGGACTTCTTGGAAGCCAAATTAAAAAAAAAAATAAAAAAAAAAAATAATTTCCAACATCACAGGCAATACAATGGGCACTGAGAGTTCCCACATGGGGTCAGGCCCAGGGCTGCTCACCCATGCGTGCTCTCAACACTAGCTGAGTGACCCTTAAGGGCAGCTGCTGCTCCTTTGTAGGTCCTCTGTAATGAAAAAGATGGTAGAAAGCAATTTTATTCTAAATACAGTGTCAATAAGTGATTCAAGTGTGTAAATCAGGAAATCGGCAGAACACGTGGTTTTTGGCAAGCCCGTCTGCTGGGCTGCTTGCTCACCTAACGAATGTTTTTCCTTTGACTCCAACTGAAACTGTGTAATATAAACAAGTGATAGCATGACCCTGAAACTGTCTGAGCAGAGAAGAAACACAAGGAATAGCAACAATGGTTATTGCATGAAAGGTGATTAAAGCAATTGCTAGCGCTCTCTATGCTTAATGAAATATTTTAATGTAAATATTTTAATGTAAATATCTACCATTGATTCTCCCAGACAGCATCAATCAGAAGCACCTTGAAACTGTGATGGACACTGCGTGCCTCTTTTTTTTTGTGAAGTTTAATTTGATCTCATTATTTATTTCACTTTTGAAAATATGCTTTATATTTTACCGCTTAAAGAAAATGAAGAGTGTAATAAAAAGCTGGGGGGTGAATAGCAGGGGCTGTCTCTGTTGAAGAAAGAGCGATTGAAACTGGATATTAGACAAACCTTCTTAGCAATAAGGGCTGGTGGATCAATTTTTAAAAGGCTGGCAATGAGCACTCCATCTCTTTAATTCTTGAAAGCTGGGTCTGGATACCTTTGCTGAATATATATTCTACTTTAGCCTAAAAGTTTTTAGATTTGATGTAAGAATTACTGCATGACATTTTCTGGCCTCTGTTATACGGAAGGTCAAATCTGTCGATCACACTGATCCCTTTGGGTCTTAAAATCTTTAAATCTATTGCAAAGAAGCTAGCTGCCAATTAACTTTTGTGCTTGGAGTACAGATCTTCAGTCAGGAGCTTCACACTCCTGTGCTGATTTACCTTCCATTCTCAGAAGATGAGAATGACGTTTAGTTGCTTCCTAGCCCCACAGGACTGTTTTTCATTTAATTCTTATTTTTTCATTGCAACTTCTGGGTCCGTAGTTTTTGTCTGTAATTATTTGCTGTAAGACTTCATTTTGGCTCGGTATCCTTTCAGCTTACAGGATAGTGAACAAGGCACATGGACATTCATGCTCAACTCACCTCTAAGTATTAGGATTAAAAGCACATGCAGTTATTTTATTTATTTGCATTTTTAATCTGTACTGGATACTAATATTAATACTAGGTGTTTGGGTTTTTTTATTTTGAGGGGTTTTTTGGTGTGTTTATTTCTTTTCTAGTACCTTTATTACCACGCTTTATATATTGTTGAACCTTTGTTGAATCTTTATCCATCCTTATCCATCTCTTATATTGTTGAATCTTTGTCCATTGGCGGTAGTGCTGCTCCCTGATGAGCTGAGATGAGCTTGCTGATTCAGCTGACAGAAGGAAGAGAGGATTCATGTTTGGCAGCAGCATGGAGTTATGTTGGCTTAAGATGAGAATGACCTAACGTTTGTCATCTGTTGTTTATTCTCTTGTCCTCTGCTGAAAGAGTGGAGCTTGTTGTGGATGGCTCGATTGGAGCTTTTAATGTTTGTGTCACTGTGTATTTATGGAGTTGTTTTGCAGTTTGTAGGGAAAGTAGTGAGGTTTATGCAATGATCCTTGGAGATGCTGCGTCTTTGGCGGGGAGAAGGTTTTCACAGAAGAGGAAAGAGGTGATAGAGTTTACTGCCAGCTGCACCCTGGAGCCCTTTGTATGAGCCATGGCCCCAGACTGTGAAGCAATTGCCTAACAAGGATCAAGAGCACAAACGTCTGCTCTGAAACTGCATGGGAAGTTAATGTGGGGAGAGGAGAAAACATCCCAGGTAGTCAAAAATAGCTTGCCAGAAGAGGAAAAACTACAACTTACATAGTATATGTAAGTGCCTGGGCAATGATCATTCCCTCTAACAACAGAGACTATATTCGTGGTCATAAGACCAAATTTGTCTTTTGGCAAACATCACTACGCTCTTTTACTAGTCTTACGTGATAATATAAACCAAGTCCTTACAGGCCAGTGAATTACATATACAAACATCTTTGTAAACACCCCTGTGTTATAATTTAAGATGAAGCTTTTTTTTTTATGCATAAATATTTTGTGAGAAACAGGTCAGTCTACAACACCAAACCAACAAAGGATTACTTCAGACCATAAGGTAAGAGTGAAACTTCTCCTGAAAAAGCATCAGGAATCTTTTTGGTTCAAAGTACAAAACAAGATAAACACGTTGTCACCTTTTGGGTCAACTGCCTATTTCTGTCAGGACTGTTTCTAATATTTAGGCATCCTGTACAATTTAGGATCATACAGCTTTTGGGATTTCCCCCCCCCTTTTTTTTTTTTTCCTTTTTTAACCTTGTTCAAGATAAACTGTAATGAAATGGGATAGCATTTTGATTGCTGTAATCATACCTACCACATTTAAACATTCTAAAGTGTTCTTCATCTCCTAATTTTCGGTTATCAGTAGCATTTCTGACCCACTTTGCTTGCTCTTGAAATCATAGCTTCTGAAACTGAGCTATGTAAGAGATTGTCAGCAGCCTTTTAAACTGTGAACTCCTGTTTTGCAGCATTTCAGTATTTTTTTTTGCCTCTTCCTTTGGGGAAGAAGAGGAGAGGAAGACATTTTGGATCATGACTACTCCTTGTTCTCACCTGACTATTCTTATTAAAAGGGGTGCTAAAATTTTAAGGATAACATTAAAAAAAAAAACTAGACAATTATTCAGCCAATTCCTTCTTTAGTTTAATGGGCACTAACTATTTAATTGCCTTTGAAAAATCTAACCTAAACTATAACTATTTTTTTCTCTCCTCCTTTATTTGTCAAGTACAAATTTAATTAAACTGACCACAAAAGAACCCACAAATAGGAATACAAAAGACATTGTATTTCTTGACAGATATTAATGTGCTAATTAGCCTTCAAATCAGCTGTGTTAAAAAATGAAGTCTTTAGTGCACATCTATTGCTTGTTATTAAAATGAAAGAATTAGAAAAAT